GAAAGGAAAAATTGAAATCGCATCATATGACCCCTTTAAATACAACAAGTATCCTTAAGTGTTTAAGGAGGAGGCAGTGTGTTGAAGGAACTCTTGGAATATTAAAGACTGTGTGCTGCAAAGCTGCTTTGGGTAGTTGACGTCATACACGTAGAAAAGTTTGCAACACAGAGCCACTGCTTGTAGTAAGGTCTTCTGTTCCATCGCCTCCTCGTTGAAAGTTCTTGGAATTAGTACAGCAATGCTGGTGTCATCCGGTAGCGTAAAACTTTCTCCATCCACTCCTACCTCTGTGATACGATGAAGCAGAAGAAGAAACATTTTAAAGATAAACTAGTAAACTGGTTAGAGCTGCTCAATTATGGCAAAAACATCATGAACACAATTATTTTAGTCAATATTGAAATCGCGATTAATTAGCATGATTATTGGTAGCGTTATGAAGTCTTTCATGAAATTAGTAATTTTAAATATCAGGGAAGTTTCACAATTGTCAATACTTAATCCAAAACTAGTACTAGGTTAACTCATGTGAGTAAAATCTTTCACAATATTAATGCTTTTTTTGTATTTTGGGTCAAATAAATGCAGGTATGGTGAGCAGAAGAGAATTCTTTAAAAAACATTAAAAATCTTACAGTCCAAAACTTCTGACTGGTAGTGTACATGTATTACTAATTTAAATAGTTGACTTACCTTGAAATGTTTTAATTAACTGGCAGAGATTCCACTGTTTCACAGAAGAATCCTTTGTCTAAAACATAAGTATAAACACATTTAGTTCAACACATTTAAAAGAAACATGCAAATCTGTCATAGCTTCATGTGAGAAATGGCTGTAATTAGAGGCTATTCTAATAGATGCATAACAATATTCAATATCATGTGAATAAACAATAAAAACACCGCGGCGCGGTTCAAATGAACACCACTGTCTCATTTAGCATCAGTGTTGGGCTAGTTACTCAAAGAATGTAATATATTACTCATTACTAGTTACTCATTACAAAAGTAATATTGTTACTTTACTTATTACTTTCTGGCAACAGTAATTAGTTAAACTACTTGTTACATTACTTTTTCTTCACGCCCCACAGAAATTCTATCTTCCACATAAAATTCTAGTGATTGATAGTGACCTATCGAAGTAGAAGTGTTGTATTAATCTCATTCATTCTCATGTGTAGCTTGAAGCTAATTGTCATTTCTCCATTACCCATATACGATTATATTTCATTAAGTTTGTAAGAAACTTTAATTTTCCAAAAAGATTTTTAATTATAGTAATAAAATGTACCGCATGCTGATCAGAGGGGTGTGGGTGGGACGTAATGTCAAGGTCAAGGTCTGTCTGTCTGTCTATCTGTCTGTCTGTATGTCTATCTATCTGGCTGTCAACAAAAACATTTCTGAGAACATTTAGCTAATGTTCCCATTAAGTCATAAAAATGTTATTTCTAAATGTTCTCTGAACGTTCTGCTGTCTTTTTAAATGTTTCAAAAACGTTTTTTCTTGGTTATACAAACGTTAAAAGGATCTCTCAATCGTTTCTTTTCCATCTGTTCATAAAACCGATAACATGAATTATAATCTTAACCCATTCAATAAACCAGAAAAGATGATAAGAGTGATTTTACTTATTAGGCCTCATTAATCTTCATAAAATCCTTCATAAAACCATTCTTAAATAAACTGTAGCATTCAATTCAGTGCAATAACTTGCGCAAGAATGAATACTGATAACATGAATTATGGTGTTATGGTGTGAATTATGGTATCCATTTAATAAAGCAGAATAGATGATAAGAGTGATTTTACAAAGGATGCATGAAAATGCCATTGATTAAAGTCAACATGAAATCAAAATGGACCACAGTCACTTTCCTGGTCTAATGAAACATGCATTGATCGGTGCATGTTATTCCAAAGAAAAACATTGTCATCATTTATCAATTTAAAAACTTGCTTTTTCAATTTGAAATCTGGTTTCTGTTCGAAATGTTGTATTTTGGAAATAAATGGGTTGTACATGGTACGTCAATAGAATTAGATGAACAAAAGACTGTCACTGCAAAAAGCAGTAAATAATGAAATACAGCTGTGTATTTCAACAACAGACCCCCTCATATATGAAAACAGGACTCAGCACAGTATTTAATAAAAAACAACTTTTATTTTCTTTAAAAAATAATCGTCCCGAACAAAGTCCTCTCACTATTACATACAGAGCCAAAATGACTTGCTTATGTGTTCATTCATTGAATCTACTGGGAAGTGCTATGATGCGGACTGTTCTTTATCAGTGGCTTAATATTGCTTAAATATTGAGGTCGGGTGAAGTTCACTCTCCAATTACGCCATCACGCACCTCCATCTTCTTCATCAGCCATGAGGTGCTGTGGCTTCTGACATCAGAATATTTAGTCTAGGACAGACCGGATCAATATTGTACAGTGGGCATCAATAAAAATCACCTCGTTGGCTTGATAAAACTAAAGGCATGTCTTTTGTATACATTTCATAAGCGGGAGTTAAAATAAAACATGGTCAACCGTTACATTAAAATCCCTTTGAATTCCAACAAACCGTTTTAGGTGCTTTGAGGCGAGTCTTTCGACCTTGTGGAGACTCTTAGCCACTTTTTATAGCAGTATAAATGGGAAAGGTCACCAAAAAATGAAAACTCTGCCATTATTTGTTCACCCTATGAAGTGTTATTTGTATGCAGCTGTGGGAAAAAGAAAAAAAATCCAGATTCGTAATGACAGCTTTTTCATTTTAAGGCAAACGGGTGAAAAAGTATGGCATCAAATGTTATACGGGCTCAGTCTTAATATGATTACTAAGAGGCTCGAGTTACAACACCAACTCAGTTTAAACATGCATTTCATACATCCACCACATGACATGATTACATGGCATAATGCTCCCCTAACCCACGGAAAAGGCGTTTTCCGGCATGCCCACATGCTCGCTGCACCGACGGGTGTCAGGCGAGGGTAAAAAGGTGCAATGATACTGGCAAGTGTTAAATGTGCTTGTTGGGAAGGGAATGTGGCAGTGTTACCAACGGCACGTTTGAAAACAATGCAGAACGGCTATGACGTGTGGTGATGCGACCCAATCGCCTTTGTGAGACTGTGTGGGAGAGAGGACAGGCTCACTATATACAAACAGCTATTCCTGCATTGTTCAAGCCCCCTGCATATCATTCTCTTCTGTCATCTTAAACATGGCATGCGGTTTTCTTTACGACTGCTCTCAGTGACCTTGAATTGCTTTGTGCACAAAGGCCAGTGGAAGAAACGGTTTAAAGCAGGGGTGTTAAACACAATTCCTGGAGGGCCGGAGCCCTGCAGAGTTTTGTTCCAGCCCTGCTCCAACACAGATATCACATCGTTTTCAAATAAGCCTGAAGGACTTGATTAGTTGGATCAGGTGTGTTTAATTAGGGTTGAATCTAAACTCTGCAGGGCTCCGGCCCTCCAGGGATTGAGTTTGACACCCTTGCTTTAAAGGAAAAGTTCACCCAAAAATGCAAAAAAAAAGGCCATTAATATATATATATACAGTATATATATATGTGTGCGATGGATGGTAATTTATACTGTCATAAAAATACTCCAATATTCCAATTCTTCTGAATTCACATGATCAATCTATGTAAGAAATAGACCAACAATTAAGTGATTATTAACTGATACTCGTCTCCACTGCAGCTCTCAAATCTCATTTACAGCCTTATTTAAAACATAAAAAGCAGAGTTTAAAAAATAGTGAAGAATAACTCAAATTTGGGTCTTTTTCTTACACAAATCTAAAATATGACTTCCAAAGGTTGGATTATAATATGCAAGTCACGCGGACTAGTTTTATGACACTTACACGAAGCTTCACATTATAAATCACCATCTATTTAGTGCTGCATTGAAAACAGCTCGTTCCGTTTCATGGGAGAATCAAAAAAATCTAGGGTTTGCAATGACACGATTTTAAAAATCATCATTGTTGGGTGAACTATTCCTGTAAGTTCAGGAAGATTTATGTGCACGAAGTAAAAAAACCAAACAAAAAAAAGTGATCAAAATCATCCTTTTCAAGTGCAAGTAAACTGCACGTTTTACAGACGAGGGCCCTTTTTCACCGGTTGGCATGGCGTTTGGCTGGTGCATAATGCTGGTTTCGGTGTTATGCTGATGTGAGAGAGCAGCGATGCACTCAGTGGTCCATCTATCGTTACGCTAATTCGGCCACTCTCTTAACTAACGGCGAGTCTAAAATCGATCCGAGACACCTGCGTTTGCGGCTTCTGCCTGCGCTTCTTCTGGGCTCGCGGTGCCTTTCGACTAAAACTAAGTGCTAATGTACCATGTCATTCACAAAAATAAAACATTTAAAAAGAAACTTTCACAACAATAAAAATAATGCCAAAGGAAGTAACAACGATTCCTCCACTTGGGGCGTTTGAACTCTGGCATCAGGTTAAGAGGCAGCTTTGTGGTGGCATACAAAACGACAGCTTCGTCTGCGTTCCTTCCCTCCGTATTGCATACATACGTACATGTGGGAGTGCGAAAGTAGTATACAATAATACACAATTAAATAAAATAAAAAAATGAGCATAGTTCAGCCAGATTCAACGAAACTCAAAGTGTGAGACTCCACGTTGGGTTCTGTGGGCTTTGTGGGACTGGTAGCACCCGGTGAACTGGCTCGAGGGGTGTGCTTAGGCAAAGTACATGGTCCTCATGGTGTCGTGGTGGATCTGCACGGCTTTGGCCAGAGCCTGAGGATCCCGACCGTTACTCTGTCCCGAGACGTGACTGCCCTCCCCGCTACAAACACAGAGACCAGATAAAGAAGGACTTCAAAACTGATATTACATGCATTAGAGTATTAAAAGCGGCAGGTCAGTCACTTATAATGCTAGATTCAAATATTTCAAATAAATGCTGTTCTTTTGAACGTTCTATTCAAATGCATCACGGTTTCCCTAAAAATAAGCAGCACAACTGTTTTCAACACTGATCATAATCAGAAATGTTTCTTGAGCAGCATATTAGAATGATTTCTGAAGATCATGTGACACTGAAGACTGGAGTAATGATGCTGAAAATACAGCTGCGCATCACAGCAATCAATTACAGTTTACAACATATTCAAAAAGAAAACAGTGATTTTAAATTGTAAAAATATTTCACAATTTTACTGTATTTTTGATCAAATAAATACAAAGCAGAAAAGATAAAGAAAGATTTAAAGCTCTGTTCTAAAACCTAGTGAGCTGACTACCTAAACAGCATTCTTTTTTTAATCCCTTTCATGTAAAGCACTTTGAATTATCATTGTTTATTAAATGTACTATATTAATACATTTGTAAGCGTGTGCTCTTGCCTTGCTTAGGCTTTGTAGCCGTGTTCTAGATACAAGGGATATTTTTTTAACCTCAATGAAAACTATAAGAATTGCATGTATCCTTTCAGAAAAGGCAAGCCCAGAATGCACTGCAAAAAGCTCAATAAATAAACCAAAATGACATGTAAAGTGAGAGAAATGTTGATTATAAACAATTGATATTTATTCAATACTGAAAGTTTCCACAACAAAATGTCCCAATATATAAATATATCAGTATTATAATATTAGTATTGCAAATTACAGGGTAAAATAAAAATGTTTATTAGGCCTATAATTATTAAATATTAATTATTTCAATATTCAATATTTTAAATATTCATTATATAATAATAATAAGTCCTATATATGCCTATATATAAATATTTTTAAAATAAAAAAATAAAATAAAATGTATTTGAATAATTTATCTATTCATTTGCATGTCATGCAACAATGTCGTTAAATGATTGAAATATCAACCTACAACTTTTGAGGATACTTCACATAAATATGTTATGTCTAAGGGGTTTGGCTGACAAAACAAATGTTGGGAACCCCTGATCTAGTAGACATGGAGAAGCAGGTCAGTGGAAAGGAACAGCCCTTTAGAATGTAGTTTTCTATGTAGGCAGCAAGGCAGCTCACTAGGTTTAGGAACAGAGCTACAGTATTCAGCTATATAGCTAATGCATTTTAGTAACATTTAAACTACAGATGCTCGTGATCTTGGCCTCACCTGTCATGCTCTTTATCCACCAGATGGTATCGGGCACGGAAAGCCACGAGTCTGGCGTAGTACGCAGGCGCTGGGATGGAGACGGAGCGGGTGCAGCGCACATATGTGTGGCACAGCTGGTAGGTGAGAATCTGCAGCTCGTCAGCCGTAAAGCGATTGTCGTCCCACAGGACGTAGTAGTGTGAGGGTCGGCTGGTGCCCTGAGACGAGGACCACAGAACGTCACACCACAGTCACACAGTCATGAATGAATGTTTGCGCCGAGTCTGTGAGCTCACCTGAATACCTGCATGACTGCACAGGTAGAAATCAAACTCGAACGGATGCGTGATGCTGGTGTCGACCGTAGTTCCTGCTGGAATGTTCCCACTCTTCCCGATCTGAGCAAAACCACACGGATTAGAATCAAGATTGCTAAATTAACCTAAAAAATATTTATTAAAAAAAACTCCTCATTACTTAACTGAAAATAAATAAATAAATCATTTCAGCTAGCTGCCAAGGCAATATTTCTCATTTTCATTTAAAGATGAAGTACTAAAATAACGAAAACTAAATGAAGAAAAACTAAAATCATTTTCAAATAAACATCAAATAAAATAAATTAACTAAAATAAATGCAGAAAACATGAAAAATCCAGCTAGTTATTATTTCAGCTATTGAATTACATGTACATTTTTGTTTACATTAAAAAAAAAAATTATTTAAAATAAACTTTACTTTTTACTTTATTTTAAATTGAGCATTTATTTAATCTATTTTAAATGAACAATTAGAATCAAGATTGCTAAATTAACCTAAAAAATATTTATTAAAAAAAAACTCCTCATTACTTAACTGAAAATAAATAAATCATTTCAGCTAGCTGCCAAGGCAATATTTCTCATTTTCATTTAAAGATGAAGAACTAAAATAACGAAAACTAAATGAAGAAAAACTAAAATCATTTTCAAATAAACATCAAATAAAATAAATTAACTAAAATAAATGCAGAAAACATGAAAAATCCAGCTAGTTATTATTTCAGCTATTGAATTACATGTACATTTTTGTTTACATTAAAAAAAAAAATTATTTAAAATAAACTTTACTTTTTAATTTATTTTAAATTTAGCATTTATTTAATCTATTTTAAATGAACATATCTCATTTTGTTTACGATGAGCTGAAGTACTAAAATACCTCAAACTAAATAAACTAAAACCATAAAAAACATTATAAAATAAAATAATAAACAAACTTAAAGTAGTTTTAAAAATCTGTTCTATTTTAGCTAGTTGTGGAGGCAACAATTCTCATCTTTGTTTAGTTTAAGTTGAAGTTAAAACTTAATAAATACTACATAGACAAAATATACAAAACGAAAAAAAAATGGCAAAACACAACAAAAACTAAAATTCTAATAAAAACAAAAATAAAATCAAATTCAATATATTAACAAAATATAGTGCCGTCGAACGATTAATCACGATTAATCGCATCCAAAATACAAGTTTTTGTTTACATACTATATGTATGGGTACTGAGTTTATTTATTATGTATATATAAACACACACACATACAGTATATATTTTGAAAATATTTACATGTATATAAATTGACATTATTATATTATATATAAATATATTTAATTATTGATTAAATATATACATGCATGAGTGTGTATTTATATATACACATGATAAATATACACACTACACAAACATATAGCTATTACGTAAACAAAATTTTTTATTTTGGATGCGATTAATCGCGATCAATCGTTTGACAGCACATAATAACATATCAATGATACTAAAATAACTCTGCTACAAAAATAACACTTCTAGGAACGTCAACTTTAAAATTCTGTTTTGCAGAAACTCACTCTTTCAGATTTATCAGCGCAGAAAAGGCGGGTGTGGTGGCGCTTTTGCACTACTACGTAGGTGATGCCCGGCTGGTAGTCCTTCTCCAGCTTGATGCAGGCGTCTCTGATGGCCAACAGCTCATAGTGCAGGATCTACACAAGGACGCCGCATTTACGATGCAAATAAATGCTGTTCTTTTCAACTTTACATTCATCAAAGAATCAAGGTTTCCACAAAGATATGAAGCAGCACAACTGATTTCAGCACTGATAATAATCAGAAACGTTTCTTGAGCAGCAAATCAGCATATTAGAATGATTTCTGAAGGATCATGTGGAGTAATGATGCTGAAAATTCAGCTGCGCATCTCAGGAATAAAGTACATTTGAACAGATATTCAAATAGAAAACGGTTCTTTTAAACTGCAATAATATTTCCCAATTTTACAGTATTTTTGATCAAATAAATGCAGCCCAGGTGAGCAGAATGAACGGAATGAACCATAATAGTGCTTACTTGTGGTAACTGTCCTTCTGGTACGCCGTCCCTGTAGAAGATGATTCTGGTGGGTTTGAAGCGGGTGGACTTGTAGAACTGGATGAGTAACTCTCGCACCATGTACGACAGGTCTTCAATGATCTCCTGTCTGGGTCGCTGTACTCGTACTGTAGCGCAGTACCTGCTGGGATGAGCGTCCATACTGCCCACCACCTGCACAGATGAGTCACGTTACATCATAAGAGCATGTTGCATTAAAAATGAGGTTCAACAAAAATGATGAAAAAAAAATCCTGCGTTAAGTGGAGAATGAGATATGACGTTCATCAGACATGCTACCATTCAAATGTTTGGGGTCAGTGAGATCTTTTTTGTTTTTGAGAAAGTCTTTTAAACATGATTTGAGCAAAATACAGTAAAATTGTAAATACATAGTAAAATAACTGTTTTCTATGTGAATATCTGTTCAAATGTAATTTATTTCTGTGATCAAAGCTGTATTTTCAGCATCATTACTCCAGTCTTCAGTGTCACAAATCATTCTAATATGCTGATTCCTGAGAAACATTTCTGATTTTTTTCGTGCTGCTTCGTATTTTTGTGGAAACTGAGATACATTTTATTTTTCAGGATTCTTTGATCAACAGAAAATTGAAAAGAACAGCATTTATTTGAAACAGAAATCTTTTGTAACATTATAAATGTCTCTTTTGAACAACTTAATGCATAATGCATCTGACCCCAAACTTTTGAATGGTAGTGTGTATGTATCAGACTAAAAATAAAATGCCAATTATAAATCAAATTCGAGAGATTGCAGGGAAGCAGTAGATCCACTAGAGCGGCTTCTAGTGGAAACTGTGAAGTTATATATTGTAAAACATCATTTGCTCAGACGGTTCTCTCAGTGAAAGGTGTAACATTTTGGAATTCATTGCCTGACTATTCAAAATCTATTGTAAATTATAATCATTTTTAAAAAGCCACGAAATCTTGGTTGATACATCAGCAAACCTGTAATCATGTTTAGTGTACTTATATTATAAATTTGTGTACAACTTGTTTATTGTAATTCTAATTTATAAAAGCCCTCCTAGGGACAAGTGTTGCAAATTAGCTTCATCTACAAGCACTATGGTACATGCATGGGATGACTGGTGTTTCATTTTCATCTATGTTTATTGTATCTGTCCCTAACAAATAAAACATTAAAAAAAATAAAAATTAAGTGGCACAAATCAGACACCAAAAAAAAAGTTGGTTTTGCAGTTCACAAACAAGCAACAAGATCCGACCCGTGAGATCCGACCCGACCCCCTACAAAACAATCACAAGGAAGAATGTGACACAGTTGCTTTAAATGTAAACGAAGTAAAAACATCAGAGCAATGCATGTGAGCATCAGTGAAAAATCCCAATAATGCAGAACAAACATGAGCAGCTGGAGAAAAGCTGCAGAGAAGGTAGAGAAATCTGCTGCCCCCTAGCTGCAGGACACTGAGTGATCATCAGCAGTTCACCTCACGTTCCCTACAGAAACCAGCCTGCCTCTGTCAATGTTCTCGCCATCCGTCTGCGTGACTCAGGCCTTTGTCACCATTGCTTGGCAACCGCCGAAAGAGTACACGTGTACAAGAGGTTGCATGCGCAGGGCGGGTGTGACATCATTTCCTTTGCGTCTGTGAGTCACCGGCGAGCCATTTTCTCTTTGTAAAGCTCCCATCCTGTTCTGCCCACCTCCGGTGCGTCCTCCCTTACACTCCACCCGTGTCCCGAGCCACTTCTGGAGCCAGCAGCAAACTGGGCGGCACTCGGCCACACAAAGAACAGCAGGCTGGTAATTACAGCTTTCAGTATGAGCCTCAAATTAAGTGGCTTTCGGCTAAGCTTGGGTTTACAGAGAGTTGTGTTAGATTTATATAACTTCATTATGTCCTAGATCAATAATAGATGTTCTTGTTATAATACATCTGATGAATGGTCAATTCAAGAAAGCTGCTTGAGTAAATCATCTAAATTATCATGCAGTTTTGTTTAGACTTTGTATAATAAATTGAAAGAAGCAGTGTATATATATTTAAGCAATTTAAATATAACAATTTAAGCTCCATGAACAATATCTGTAGCAAGAGGGCGACAAGGAGACACACCTAGTCGTCTGCAACGTTTCTAGTCGTTTGCAATTTACGAGAATTACTTAAAAAAATTATTTTATAGAATTTGCACCCACAAAGAGCAAAGGTGCAGTACTTTGGAGTAGGGAAAAAAAGAAAAATGTAAAAAAAATTCAATGACTTTTTAATTATTATTTAAATAATTATTTTATATTTTCCAGCCCTTTAAATCACAATTTTTTTAAATTCCCTGATACTTCCCTACATTTTTTGCCAAAGTTTGAACATTAATTCTGATCATAAATTCTACACATACCGACCGATGGTCGACCGATATTGTTTTTTTGACAGTCGATGCCGATATCTTAGAGAGCAGGGTGGCCGATGGCCGATATAAAGCATATATATATATATATAGATTAGTGCTGTCAAAATTAGCACGTTAACGCATGCGATTCATTTTTTTCAGTTTAAAAATATTTAATGCACTTAACACAGTTGGCCACCCCTTGCACAACTGCTGCTTCGGTTTCTTTTTTCTCGACAAGAATTGCTTTTATTTACACGCTGAACATCTTTACGACCACATAAAACAGGAGAATTTTCAGACGCGCACTCCAACTGCACCTCAGCGCCAGGCACGAGTCAAACGAGCGCGGGAAAGGTACATGTGATGAGTGAACACTTAAATCGAATGAATGAATCAATGAATTATTCACTGAAACAATTACCACCATCTACTGGCAATTTTAGTTTCTTATTTAGAGTGTTATTTCATTAAAAATAATTTCATATTTACATATTAATAAAAAAAGCAGAAAATAAAAATATAAATTCCATATTAATAAAAAAAACAATTAAAGGGATAGTTCACCCAAAAATGAAAAAAGAAAATAGGAAATGAATTAAACAAAAACAAATTCTTTGTAAAGCTTTTTTTGTAATGTCTATTTCATGCATTTCTCATGTAACACAATAATGGCTTTAAATGATCTTTTGGGGGTGATTTCTCATGAAATTTTATGTGCGATTAATATACAATTCATTTTATTAATTAATTGCAGCATTGTGTAATTCGTTAGATAAAACATTCACAGAACGTCACACCACAGTCACACAGTCATGAATGAATGTTTGCGCCGAGTCTGTGAGCTCACCTGAATACCTGCATGACTGCACAGGTAGAAATCAAACTCGAACGGATGCGTGATGCTGGTGTCGACCGTAGTTCCTGCTGGAATGTTCCCACTCTTCCCGATCTGAGCAAAACCACACGGATTAGAATCAAGATTGCTAAATTAACCTAAAAAATATTTATTAAAAAAAAACTCCTCATTACTTAACTGAAAATAAATAAATCATTTCAGCTAGCTGCCAAGGCAATATTTCTCATTTTCATTTAAAGATGAAGAACTAAAATAACGAAAACTAAATGAAGAAAAACTAAAATCATTTTCAAATAAACATCAAATAAAATAAATTAACTAAAATAAATGCAGAAAACATGAAAAATCCAGCTAGTTATTATTTCAGCTATTGAATTACATGTACATTTTTGTTTACATTAAAAAAAAAAATTATTTAAAATAAACTTTACTTTTTACTTTATTTTAAATTGAGCATTTATTTAATCTATTTTAAATGAACACATCTCATTTTGTTTACGATGAGCTGAAGTACTAAAATACCTCAAACTAAATAAACTAAAACCATAAAAAACATTATAAAATAAAATAATAAACAAACTTAAAGTAGTTTTAAAAATCTGTTCTATTTTAGCTAGTTGTGGAGGCAACAATTCTCATCTTTGTTTAGTTTAAGTTGAAGTTAAAACTTAATAAATACTACATAGACAAAATATACAAAACGAAAAAAAAAATGGCAAAACACAACAAAAACTAAAATTCTAATAAAAACAAAAATAAAATCAAATTCAATATATTAACAAAATATAGTGCCGTCAAACGATTAATCGTGATTAATCGCATCCAAAATACAAGATTTTGTTTACATACTATATGTATGGGTACTGAGTTTATTTATTATGTATATATAAACACACACACATACAGTATATATTTTGAAAATATTTACATGTATATAAATTGACATTATTATATTATATATAAATATATTTAATTATTGATTAAATATATACATGCATGAGTGTGTATTTATATATACACATGATAAATATACACACTACACAAACATATAGCTATTACGTAAACAAAATTTTTTATTTTGGATGCGATTAATCGCGATCAATCGTTTGACAGCACATAATAACATATCAATGATACTAAAATAACTCTGCTACAAAAATAACACTTCTAGGAACGTCAACTTTAAAATTCTGTTTTGCAGAAACTCACTCTTTCAGATTTATCAGCGCAGAAAAGGCGGGTGTGGTGGCGCTTTTGCACTACTACGTAGGTGATGCCCGGCTGGTAGTCCTTCTCCAGCTTGATGCAGGCGTCTCTGATGGCCAACAGCTCATAGTGCAGGATCTACACAAGGACGCCGCATTTACGATGCAAATAAATGCTGTTCTTTTCAACTTTACATTCATCAAAGAATCAAGGTTTCCACAAAGATATGAAGCAGCACAACTGATTTCAGCACTGATAATAATCAGAAACGTTTCTTGAGCAGCAAATCAGCATATTAGAATGATTTCTGAAGGATCATGTGGAGTAATGATGCTGAAAATTCAGCTGCGCATCTCAGGAATAAAGTACATTTGAACAGATATTCAAATAGAAAACGGTTCTTTTAAACTGCAATAATATTTCCCAATTTTACAGTATTTTTGATCAAATAAATGCAGCCCAGGTGAGCAGAATGAACGGAATGAACCATAATAGTGCTTACTTGTGGTAACTGTCCTTCTGGTACGCCGTCCCTGTAGAAGATGATTCTGGTGGGTTTGAAGCGGGTGGACTTGTAGAACTGGATGAGTAACTCTCGCACCATGTACGACAGGTCTTCAATGATCTCCTGTCTGGGTCGCTGTACTCGTACTGTAGCGCAGTACCTGCTGGGATGAGCGTCCATACTGCCCACCACCTGCACAGATGAGTCGTGTCAGAGCGCGTTACATCATAATAGCATGCTGCATTAAAAATGAGGTTCAATAAAAATCATGAAAAATCCAAATTAATTTGAAAACGATCAGATATGCTACCATTCAAATGTTTGGGGTCAGTAAGTTTTTTTCATTTTTGAAAAAAGTCTTTTAAGCATTATTTGATCAAAAATAGTCAAATTGTGTAATATTATTACAATTCAAAATAAGTGTTTTGTATTGCAATATATTGTAAAATGTAATTTATTTCTGTGATGCGCAGCTGAATTTTCAGCATCATTCCTCCAGTCTTCAGTGTCACATGATCTTCAGAAATCATTCTAATATGCTGATTTGCTGCTCGAGAAACATTTCTGATTACTATCAATGTTGAAAACAGTTAAACTACTTCATATTTTTGTGGAAACTGTGACACATTTGATTTTTCAGGATTCTTTGATGAATAGAACAGCATTTATTTGAAATAGAAATCCTTTGTGACATTATAAATGTCAACGCAACGCATTTTTGCTGAATAAAAATAGGAATGAATACAAATCTTACTGACCCCAAACTTTTGAATGGCATTTTTGAATATATCAGACTAAAAATTAAATGTCAATTATAAATCAATAAACCAAAAAAAAAAAGAAAAAAAAAAGTTTTTGCTGTTCACACACAAGCAACATGAGAGAAACAAACAAAGGGTTGCCAAATGTGGACATTTGGGATGGATTTTAACCTAGCAACCAACCAGAATACTTAAAATGACAAAAAAATAAGCTACAAAACAATAACAAGAAAGACCGTGACACAGCTGTTTTAAAGGTAAACAAAGTAAAAACATCAGAGCAATCAGTGAAAAATCCAAACAATGCTAAACAAATGTGACCCTGGACCACAAAACCAGTCATAAGGGTCCATTTTTCGAAATTGAGATTTATGCATCATCTGAAAGCTGAATAAATAAGCTTTCCATTGATGTATGGTTTGTTAGGATAGAACAATATTTGGCTGAGATACAACTATTTGAAAATCTGGAATCTGAGGGTGCAAAAAAATCTAAATATTGAGAAAATCATCTTTAAAGTTGTCCAAATGAAGTTCTTAGCAATGCATATTACTAATCAAAAATTAAGTTTTGATATATTTTTACGGTAGGAAATTTACAAAATATCTTCATGGAACATGATCTTTAATTAATATCCTAATGATTTTTAGCATAAAAGAAAAATTGATAATTTTTACCCTTACAATGTATTGTTGGCTATTGCTACAAATATACCCCAGCGACTTAACACTGCTTTTGTGCTCCAGGCTCACAAATGTGACTGACTGCAGAGAAAGTACAGAAATCTGCTGCCTCCTAGTTGCAGAAAAGCCAATGATCATCAGCCGGCTGTCGTCAGCAGTTCATCCAGCCTCTGTAAATGTTCTCGCCGTCCGTCTGCGTGACTCAGCCCTTTGTCACCATCGCTTGGCAACCGGCGAAAGAGTACACACTTACAAGTGGTTGCATGCGCAGGGCGGGAGGTGACATCATTTCCTTTGCGTCTGTGAGTCACCGGCGAGCCATTTTCCCTTTTCAAAGCTCCCATCCTGTCCTGCCCACCTCCGGCTCGTCCTCTCTTTCACTCGGCCCGTGCTCGGAGCCACTTCTGGAGCCGTCAGCAAACTGGGCGGCACTCGGCCACAAAGAGCAGCAGGCTGGTAATTACAGCCTTCGGATTGAGACTCAAATGAAGTGGCTTTCGGCTCAGGTTGGGTTTACAGAGAGCTGTGTTACATTTATATAACTTCATTATGTCCTGAAGCAATAATAGCTGCTCTTGTTATATAAGACATCTGATGACTGGTCCATTCAAGAAAGCTGCTCGAGTACATTATCATGCAGTTTTGTTTAGATTTGGTATATGATCGAAACTTTATGTTACATTTAACTTAATCCGTCACATATTAGGTAAATATGGCATGAATTAAAATGAAGTATATAAAAATAGACCCACTGCTGGTAAAGGAACAACTTAAGCGCCATCAACAATCGCTACAGCAGGCAGTCGACGGGGGGACACACCTTTTGACTAATGAATTTCCATCATGTTTTCTAATCGTTTGGAATTTATGATTATTATTTATAAAAATTGTTTTATAGAGTTTGCACCCACAAAAAGTGACTTCTAGCTGATCAAATAAAAAATTTAATAGAAAATGCAAAAAAAACTATTTTTAAAAAAATAAATAAAATAAAAACAATATATTTTCCAGCCCTTGAAATCACAATTTCAAAACTCCCTGATATCTCTCCAAATCTTTTGTCCAAGTTTGAACACAAATTCTGATCATAAAGTCTACACATACACTGCTATTCAAAAGTTTGGGGGTTTTGAATGTTTTAAAAAAATAAGTCTCTTCTGCTCATCAAGGCTGCATCAAAAATACAGTAAATATTCTGAAATATTACTACAATTGTTCAATATTTGAATATATTGTAAAATGTAAGTTATTCCTGTGATGCGCAGCTGAATTTTCAGCATCATTACTCCAGTCTTCAGCGTCACATGATCTTCAGAAATCACTCTAATATGCTGATTTGCTGCTCAAGAAACATTTCTGGTTATTATCAATGTTAAAAACCGTTGTGCTGCTTCATATTTTTGTGGAAACTATGATACATTTTATTTTTCAGGATTCTTTAATGAATAGAAAGTTCATAAGAGCAGCACTTATTTGAAATATAAAGCTTTTGTAAAATTTATAAATGTCTTTATACTTTTGATCAATGTAATGCATCCCTGCTGAATAAAAGTATTAATTTCTTTTAAAGAAAATCTTACTGACCCCAAACTTTTGAACAGTGGTGTTGTTGTTTTTTTTACATTTTTTTGCTATTATCTGCATTCTTTCTTTTTGATGCCAGACTATTATTGTTGTATAAACTGGATATTTTTATCAATTTTCCCTACCGAAAATGTGAAGTTGCTCGGTAATATGATACTATACTATGTTATAAAAATGAAAGTATATACTGTAAATAATACTAAAATAACACTGAAGTGATTTTACACATTACAGATTTTTTTTGTAAAAATCCATATAAAACTATACAAACTGTGTGCCACTCAGAACTGAATTTAAATTTCAACTGAACTGAATTTGAATTGAGGTAGCAAACCGGATTTCTGCCTCTAAACAGCACTTAAAAATAGCACAAACTCCTGTCTACATGACTATGGTTTCAAGACAGTGTGATAGTTGCTTATAATGTGCCAGTTATTCATGTGAGGTCTGCTGATTTTAGGGTAAACGGCTTCTCAGCCCCACTTGAATTTCAAATCTCATTCAAAATGCACACGTGATTTCATGAGAACAGCTGAAAGTGTGTGGTGCTCACAGCAGTAATAGACGGCTTCTTCCCATCACCAGCCGGCGGGTGAGTGACATCTGCTCCGAGGAAGATCACCGGCTGCTGGAACACTGCCGACCTGTGCAAAGGTTCAAATAAAAGTGTCAACGCTCAAGCTACACTACCAGTCAAACGTTTTTGGACAGTACGTTTTTTATGTTTTTTTAAAGAATACTCTTCTGCTCACCAAGCTTGCATTTATTTGATCCAAAATACAGCAAAAGCAGTAATATTGTGAAATATTTTCACTATTTAAAATAACTGTTTTCTATTTGAATATATCTTAAAATGTAATTTATTCCTGTGATCAAAGCTACATTTTCAGCATCATTACTCCAGTCTTCAGAGTGACATGAGTTGCTGTTCAAGAAACATTTATAATTATTATTATCAATATTTAAAACAGTTGAGTACATTTTTTTCAGGATTCTTGGATTAATAGAAAGATCCAAAGATCAGCATTGATCTGAAATAACAACATTATACACTATACCATTCAAAACTTGGGAGTCAGTATAATTTTTTATTTGTATTTTTTTTGGGTTATATAAATTAATACTTTTATTTAGCAAATTGATCAAAAGTGATGATAAAAACATTTATAATGTTACAAAAGACTTCTATTTCAGATAAATGCTGTTCTTCTGAACTTTCCATTCATCAAAGAAACCTGAAAAAAATCTACTCCGCTGTTTTCTACATAATAATAATAATTAGTGCCGTCAAACGATTAATCGCGATTAATCGCATCCAAAATAAATGATTTTGTTTACATAATATATGTGTGTGTACTGTGTATATTCAGGTATATATAAATACACACATGCATGTATATATTTCGTTATGCTAATAAAATAAATATATTTATTTATAATATAAATTATATGAATATAAAGATAAACATGTAAATATTTTCAAAATATATACTGTATGTGTGTGTATTTATATATACCTGAATATACACAGTACACACACATATATTATGTAAACAAAATCATTTATTTTGGATGCGATTAATCGCGATTAATCGTTTGACAGCACTACTAATAATAAATGTTTTGAGCAGCAAATCAGAATATTACAATGATTTCTGAACGATCATGTGACTGGAGTAATGATGCTAAAAATTCAGCTTTGAAACCACAGGAATAAATTACATTTTAAAATATATTCAACTAGAAAACATAAATAGTCAAAAATATTTCAAAATTGTACTTTTATTGTTGTACTTTGGATCAAATAAATGCAGGCTTGGTGAGCAGAAGAGACTTCTTTAAAAAACAAATTTAAAAAAAAAAAAAACATAAAAAATCTTACTGTTCAAAAACTTTATGTTCTGTGAATCAAAACAAGGCTGGCAAAGCAGTTACAAACCGTTGATGCGGCACCAGGATGTTGTTGATTCCACCAAGTTTGACGTTGATTTTGAGGCAGAGGTTGGAGAGCGTCTGAGGCGAGGTTTTCACCACGTTCTTCACCTGAACACACTGAGTGGCCATTCCTAGAAGAGTGTCTCCCACACGCTTCACCTCCGCTGCACAGATCAAACGTGTGTTCATTAGTCTGAGGGCGTTTGGCAGGAGGGCGGCTCTGCTCCGTGTGCGCTGTTCTTACCATAGACGGGTGTTTTTCCAGGCAGGATGACGATGATGAGCTGCAGTCCGGAGTAGGTGTTCTTCAGGTGTCTGAACATGGGCTCCACGCTGTCGGCTCCCTGTGCGTACTTACAGAAACACGGCTGACCCTGGATCGGCATCCCAGCGTCCTTTGAGATCTTACGCAGCTGGTCCGTGAAGTTCCTGAGGAAGAGATCTTCACATTAACACCAAAGCATTCGTAGCTGATTTATTAGCATGAAATATGTCTTAGAGTTATCAAGGTTGAAAACAGTTGGGGTGCTTTTTGATATTTCTCAGAAATCTGCAATCTCTAAAGAACAGCATTTGAATTAATTAGAAAAAAAAAAAAAGAAAGAAAGAAATCTCATTCCACTTGAATTTTCATTGGTCACATTCCCACGGTTTTGACCGATTCAATATTACAATAAAATAATAATTGCCATGATTTTATTGTGATTATTGATTGTTGTATTGGGATTATGGTCATATTGTGAAATACAAATATCACTAAAATATAAAACTAAAACTGAAACTGAAATCATAAAAAGCATTTTTGTTGCTTGAAATAAAAGGTAACACTTTAGAATAGGGAACACTTATTCACTATTAACAACGACTTTTTCCTCAATAAATTCCTAATTTGCTGCTTATTAATAGTTATTAATGTAGTTGTTAAGTTTGTTAGTAATATGCATGCTAATAAGCAACTAGTTAAGAGACCCTAAAATAAAGTGTTACCAAATAAAATAAACATTAACTGAAGTAAAGTAAAACATAAACCTTTTACTTCAGCTAGTTGCCAAAAGATATCGGATTTTAATTTAGTAATGTTTTAAAAACTGAAATTAAAAAAAAAGTAAAACTACACAAACATACAGTATATAAAAAACAAAATCAACACAATTAGTAAAACTTAAATTAAATTTTAAATGATGAAAACAGAAACATCCAAAAATAAAACCGATTCAAAATATTAAGAAAAACTATAATAGTATCTCAATGATACTAAAATAACACTTCATCATGTGTAAACAGTAATCCAACATTTTTTTTTTTTAATAATGCGAGTTTCAGAGTAAATCTTGGCTCAATGTATTAATTTACATGCATGCAGCTACACATGTCTATCATGAACTACGCATGTGTAAATGCTTCGCTTGAAACCAGTAAAGTATATATTTATTTAGTTAAATATAATTAAAATATCAAATATCTTACTGACCCCAAACTTTTGAATGACAGTGAATGAATTAGATTTAAAACTACATTTCAAAGTGGCATAAATCAAATGCCAAATAAGTGTTTTTGCCATTTATACACGTGCAACAAGCTCCAATATATGGGGGAAAAAATTGGCAAAAAATGCAAATGTGGACTTTTAGGATGGCTTTTTTAATCCATCACCTAACAACCAATCAGAATGCTAAAAATGACAAAAGAAAATCTATAAAACAATAACAAGGAACATAAACAGTAGCTCGGAATGAAAACAAAGTGAAAACACCAGAGCAATGCAAGTCAGCATCAGTGAAAGATGCAAATAATGCAAAACAGACGAGAGTGTCTGTAGAAAATCTGCAGGGAGAGTACAGAAATCGTGGGTTTCCTTACTTGAGCACCTCTTCCCGACACTGTTTCTGCGGGGCGAAGCAAGCAATGGCCCAGACTTTGATCTCGATGCCATTGAAGAACTGCTTTCCCCTCATATCCCACACACCCTGGTTGGGAGTCGCAATGGCACGATTCTGTTCACCGGTAGAAAAAGAGAGAATTTAGAAATCTCACACTGGAGGAGGTGATGATGTGTCAAAGCGGCACGTCAACATTTATGCATTCGGCAGACACTTTTATCTAAAGTGACTTATACTACCAGTCAAAGGTTTGGAGTAAGAAAGATTTTTTATGTTTTTGAAAGAAGTCTCTTCTGCTCACCAAGGCTGCATTTATTTGAATTAAAGGCACAATATGTAAGAGTTTTTTATTAAAATATCCAAAAACCACTATAACGGTGTTATATATTTTGCTGACTTGTGTACTTACATTATCCCAAATGTTTCGAAGAATGTTTAAATCCAGAGAAATAAGCAATTTTAATTAATGACACGGATCGTGTCCATAGTGTCATTGTGTCGCCTGCCAATGACGTCATAACCCCTTGATTTCCGGTTTTGTAGAAAACATGGAAACACCAAAGACGCTTTAATATGTTGTGTGTTTTAATAGACCAGTGACGACCGCACAGAGTAGCATTACAACAGAACTTTCAAACGTATCTAGTATGATAAAACAGCACTGCTTTACCCCACATACACACGACCGGAAGGAGCGGAAGCAGTCGACTGTGGCATACTAAAAGCTCCGCTGCTTTACCCCATATATGCACGACCGGAAGGAGCGGAAGCGCTCAACTGTGGCATAATAAAAGCTCCGCTGCTTTACCCCACATACGCACGACCGAAAGGAGCGGAAGCGCTCGACTGTGGAATAATAAAAGCTCCCCTGCTTTACCCCACATACGCACGACCGGAAGCAGCGGAAGCGCTCGACTGTGGCATAATAAAAGCTCCGCTGAATTCTTTAAAAATCCTACAATGTGATTTTCTGGATTTTTTTTCTCATTTTGTCTCTCATAGTTGAGGTATACCTATGATGAAAATTACAGGCCTCTCTCATCTTTTTAAGTGGGAGAACTTGCACAATTGTTGGCTGACTAAATACTTTTTTGCCCCACTGTACATATTGTGCCTTTAACACAGTAAAAACAGTAATATTGTGAAATATTATTAGAATTTCAAATGACTATTTTCGATTGTAATATATTGTAAAATGTAATTTATTCCTGTGATGCGCAGCTGAATTTTCAGCATCATTACTCCAGTCTTCAGTGTCACATGATCTTCAGAAATCATTCTAATATGCTGATTTGCTGCTCAAGAAACAGTTCTGATTATTATCAATTTTAAAAACTGTTTTTGCTGTTTAATATTTTTGTGGAAATGAATTTTTTTTTTTTTAGAATTCTTCTCTTTTCAAAAGAACAGCATTTACTTGAAATATTTATTTGAAATACAATCTTTACACTAACATTATAAAAGCATTTACAGTCACTTTGATCAATTTAACGTGTCACTGTTAAATAAAAGTATGAATTATTTTCGTTTTTCTACTTACCCTAAACAAAATATAATAATAAATGTCTCTCGAGCAGCAAATCAGCATATTAGAATGATTTCTGAAGGATCACATGACACTGAAGACTGGAGCAATGATGCTGAAAATTCAGCTGCGCATCACAGATATTTGAAATTGCAATATTTCACAAAACTACTGTATTTTTGATCAAATAAATGCAGCCTTTGTGAGCAGAAGAGACTTCTTTTAAAACATTTTTATATTCCAAACGTTTGACTGGTAGTGCATTCCTTGGGAATTGAACCCATTACCTTGGCACTGCAAGCATTATGATCTACCGCTTGAGCAACAAGAACAGGAAGTAGAACAGGACCTGTCTGAGCTTCAGATTCAGTAAAACAGATCTCACCCGACCGCCGTACTGCAGGATGGGAGCGGGAAGCACTCTCCCCGTCACCTCGGCCATGTCGTCCTTCACTTTGATTCCAAACTCTTGAATGTAGGGATCCAGATTAAAGTTAGCGTTCTTCATCTGAACAGAAAAGAAAAAAAATGCAAGATAGTGAAGATTACGAAAATGCCCCTCAAACATGAAACTGCATTCACAACCCATTGTACTTCCACAATGTGCATCTTCACTGATTGAAACAGGATAGTTGAGAATAAGGAAAAATGATCTTCATTTTCTAGGAACCGATTTGAAAATTGGGCATTACATATCAGAATGGTTGAGAAGTAAGACAGCTTGATTATGTTTGAAAAGGAAAGTAATTTCAGAGGCAGAGCAATTTATTGCATTTTCACGAAAGATTACAAAAACTTTTTATTTGGAATAACGTACACTGATGAACTGTACACAGCAAGACCAAAATGTACATTTAAAAAAAAAAATAAAAAAAAAAAGTAAACGATTTCTTAATTTACTTGCTACGTTTGAAAGTATATCTTGCAATATATCATAAAATACAAAGCAAATGATTTTCAATGGTCAATGCTGACAGTACGTAGAGAGCTGATATGATGCAAATATAAAATACATTTTTTTTAATTAAATCAGATTTAAAAAAATTTTAAATGACATTGAATGAAAAAGAAATGGAGCGTTGACAGATCTGTCTGTTAAATTTGGAAATGTCAAAAGCCAAACTTTATGTTCATCAAACAGCTGCGGGTTTAGTTTAACAGCTAATAATCTCAAATATTCGTTCATTGATCTGGACGATATAGTGTAAACCTCGATTAAAGATTCTGGTGACCTTTTTGGAAATTGTTCAAAGACGTGGTGAACTAAAACGAAACAGCATCACAACAATCTAATTTATTGATCTGAGTGATAAACGGGTTTGTTTATATGAGCATGAACCCCAATGACAATGAGTGACATTCATTTCTTTCTTATATTATGTACTGAAATTTTTTGCAGTGTAAAACGTTACAAATGAATCAGCGTCACAACAACTTGGTCTCAAGATGACTTCCACACAACTCTACTGATGATCACAGATCCCGTCACATGGAAATGATGATGTCACTTCATGCTCATGTTCACAAAATTCAAGGAAGCTGTGATGATGTCATCCGCAGTAATACTCTCAAAAATGGGCCGATTCTATGACCACAAACCTTTATATCAGGATGATTCTGGATTTAATGCGAGTTATCACAGAAAATGTTACCATCTTTGTAAAAACAAACTACAAATGTGGAAAACTGTCATGTTTTTGTCAGTGTATAAGTAGCAAGCCCTGACTTTCATCAAAAGTGCATTTCTGTGAGCAGAGGTTTTATTTTAGATTTACTAGACATGAGAAACAGAAGGAATTTAGTGCATTTGGTTCTGGTTTGAATCTTTTAACGCTTCATTTAGGAATTCGGGAGAATGAAAATGTTTTCTGAATAAGAACCGGTTTTCAAATCCCAGGTCTAGTTTTTACCGAGGTACAGATCAAATTAATATCTGTGAGAGGAATTCGACAGCCTCAGCCACAGATGCTGAGCTGCACTTGTTAGATTTGAGTCATTTGGTATATATTAACACCATTTCAGTTAATGAATTTCATGTTTTCTTTACTATACATTTAAGTTCAATCTGTAAAACTTAAAATGCTGCTACCATGTTTTTACAGCAAAGTTCTGCCATCCACATTTGCAGGTTTTTTTCCCTTTTAACTCTTTCCCCGCCCGCGTTTTTGAAAAAAATTGCCTGCCACCGCCAGCGTTTTTTCTGATTTTCACTAAAATTTCACGGCCCCCAGAATATTTTGTTGTATATACATCAAAATAAAGATCAGACCCTCTACATACAAACAAAAATTCTAGCTTATTTATTCTAGCTTAATGCATTGTTTTTTGAACACATGGCATTTTTATCAAATACTACATCTGGATCATATTCAGTAATATTTCTGGATTGACATTTCACTCTGTAACATTAGGCAGTTTTCACTGTTGATGATCGCATTATTTTTCATATGCATACACTTGCATATGAGATCGCTTGTTTCCACGTCTTCCTCGTCTGTGTTTTTGATCGGCACTTTCTAGACTCATTCAGGAGATGCGTAATAGCGGCCCCGAGCGTATATAACAGTCAAAACACGGAAACACGGAAAATTCCGAAGCGTTGTCTCATGAATAACGGAAAATTCTGTGTTTGGCGGGGAAAGAGTTAATCATAAATTTACTGAATCATTCTGCGTGCAAATAGCAATATAAGTATAAATATATATGTATATATATATATATATATATATATATATATATATATAAAAGTATTATATAATTTGTTAGTGCATTTAAGATACAGATAAATTAATCCAGAATATTATTTTAAAAGATGCAGTTTTTTATCATTTACAAATACTGTGATTTTTCAAATGCTACCAGTTTTTCAAATGTTGTGAATATGTATCTTGTCGATCTTAGTTATAATTATGGTTCCTTTGATTGAACAATTGAATAGCAAGCCGTTTAATAGCAAATGCTTAACTTTTAAGATGCTTTTTGAATACATGCATAAATATTGAGAAGTTGTTGCTAGATTTTCCAGAATATTCTTTTAAAGGATGCCGTTTTCTGTCATTTACAAATGTGAGTGATTTTTCAAATGTAACAAATTACTAATATTGTGAATATAAATGTTGTTGATCTATTTGGCAACACTGGTTAAAATAAGGTTTTCTTTGATTGCAAAACTTTATGCGTAACTGTTAAGATTCATACCACGTATAATCAGAAGGCTGAAAAACGTGCATTTCTTTCTTTCTGCTGTATTTTTTCAGCTCTATATTATCCTATGGGTAAAAATACTGTGGCTATGTAACCATGACAACAATGCACTAGCCAGTGCTCACTGTATGAAAGTTGGCGCGTTTCCCGCGTGCACACTAGAGGTCCGCACTCACCAGTCTGCTGATCTCCTCCTGTCTGTCTGGTGCTGATCGCGCTGTGGCTTTGATCATGGTGGACGTTTGATTATCTGTCAGTTTCTTGATGCACCGCTGTCCTGCTACAATATTACACACCTACGAGAACAGCAAACCATATCAGAACAGAGAAGGTCTTCTATGGCCGTTCTAACCATACGGACGACAGCACTGACCTCCAGGGGCAGGTAGGTGTGTTTCTGCTCCTGGCCCACCTGTAGGCAGGGCAGGTGGGGGTATTTGAGCTGCAGGTTGTACTTCTGCTTGAAGTATTGAGCCACGGTACATTCCACCGTCTGTCCGCTCTCAAGCTGCAGGGGAAACCTGGAGACACGAGCGACAGATCTTCATTCGCTGATCACATTTCAAGATTTAAATCAGAGTTTAGACAGATTAGCAGTTATCAGACAAACTATCTGACTGCAGAAAAAAAGATGCATTTCATACAGGCACAGAAGTAACTGTTAAGTAACAGGGTTAACTCAAATTTAAATCATAAAAAAAAAATTTTGATACCTGAATTAAAATAAATGTTAACTGACAAAAAAAATAAAAGTAATTTTATTTGAGCTAGTTTCCAAGACAACATTTTTTCCATTTTACTTGATGTACTAAAATAACGGGGAAAAAAATTAATTATAAACTATACAGATATATTTAAAACTCATAAAAATGACAAAAACACACAACAAATTTAATACAGTTTTAACTCAAATTAACATGAAAGCAGCTTTTATAAAGTTTAAAAAAATGTATAAATTTTATTTATTATATAATGATATCATTATTTTACTATTTGAATTCGTTGTTGAAATATAAACATTTAAATGGTGCCTGTAATAAAAACCTGTTTTCCTGAGATTTATTCAAACAAACATTAAATAATAAAAACAACACAATAAGTAAAAATATAATGAATATGTAAAATGGACACATTTAGCAAATCCTTTATTTATAGAGACACTGAGAAGCCAAAATGCACAGAAATGCTAATTAAATGTCATGGTATCGGTCAACGATTTCAATCCTTCGAAACAATTTTCAGGACTTAGGACTAATTACGAACTCAAAGTATGACCGTTATGAAAAATGGAAAAAGTGTGAAATCCCACATGAAAATGATACTACGAATGCTGAAGGCTTCAGAGAAGGTTTCGCAGCACAATACTCACGTTTGGTGACTAGCAGGGCGACGTGTGACGTTACAGACGCGGTACTTTCTTTTCATTTGACCACAGTGCGTGACCTCCACCTTCAGACCTGACACCAACAAAACACGCAAAAACAACGAGTTAAGCAGTGTCATGAAAGCTTGTTTTGGCCATTTTTTGAGGTTTTTAAAACAACAATTCAAACCACAAAAAAATATATAAATCGAATTAGGGCTGCACGATTAATCGAATGTGATTGTCATGCACATTTTGTTATTAATGCCGGTTCTGTAATCAGCAGTAAATCATCATCACGTGCTTTCAGATGGAGCAGCATTTACTACACAGAGCCGTAGTTCACTGACAAGTTACGCCAAAAAAAATGTTTATGCGATTTTATTGCACGATTAATCGTTGGCGATAATGACAGCTGTTTGCGTAGCTTCTCAGTGAACTACGGCTCTGTGAAGTAAATGCTGCTCCATCTGAAAGCATGTGAAAATACCACATTTAATAACATATTTTTACTCCAAACTCACTTCATAACGTCAGTCGAGTGTTTGAAATAAATCCTTCTGTGAGATGATGTGGCTTCTTACACAGAATAAGGCACGCAACATCTTTCATAGTATTCTAAGCCGTGATAAAGGCACTGCATTATTATATACTTTATTATAATGAAAATTATAATAATAATAACTCCGATAAACCATATATTGTCATAATCGTGTGTTTATTAGTCACGTTGAATCAATAAAAGCAGTTGAATCTTCTGTTTATTCAACTGCAGCGATAGGCATTTTCTGGGTTTCTTCTGCGAGGCGTATTTGGAGTTTCAGCGCGAGAGCGCCCTCTGGCCTTTGGATGGAGATTTACTGCTGATCACAGAACCGTGCTTCACTGAAAGATACGCATGACAATCGCAGCTTCTGTCGAATCGCGATCTCGATTCCATTTCGATTTATCGTGCAGCCCTAAACCGAATGCATTATAAATGAACTGTATATATTTCCAGTGTACGATTTAATTGACAGACAATACGTCTGTGTTATGTTTTTTTACTTTATTTAGCAGTTTTCTGCAACAGATCCAGCACCATTTCAGCAGAGTTAAGTAAATAAACTGGGCGCCACTTCCAGCCACAGCAGTAATTACGGTCTTCGGCGTAAGACTAAAATGAAAGGCCGGATCCACAACAGAATTCAGGATTGCATCATTAGATTTTTAAATCGATGTCTGTGTAAAAGCATGATATCAAAATGACTCATCCAATCCACTTCAACAAATAAATCACAAGACAAAGCCGTGGCAGGATGCTGAGATCATCCAGTGACTTCACCTGATACCTCATCTCAAACTATTAGGGGTGTAATGGAACACATATTCATAATGAAATGTTCAGTACAGGTCTTTCTGTTCGCTCCGCATGTGTAGTGAGCGAATGCAGTGTTGTTTTAACCACTGCATGTGCAGAACTTCTGTGTGTGGAAAGTAATATGAAATGTACACATCCAAATAGGGCTGGGTGATATCAGCAAAAATATGATCACGATATTCCATATCATACTATATCGATATTTATCACAACTTTCATGTATTGATTGTGACATGTGATTTCCACATGCCTTGTAGAATGAATGTAAACATGACTTATTTATTCACAATTAGCTATAAATCCCCACATAACTTGTTTTATTTTCCCCCTAAATTCTGTGTTTTGTGTTTTATTTTTTTCTGGATTCAGTTTTTATGATTTAATAGAAATTTATCAACAAGATTGGTGTCTAATGAACTACTTTGACAATTGAATCAATCTTAAAATGTATTCAAATGAAACAATAACAATACATCCATAACAAAACTTTGCATTTTTATTTTTTTGTCAAATAAGATGCTGCACAACAGAACTAAAAAAAAAATTACGACATGAAACTAAAATATTTGGCATTCAAAGGTGGCAGAATTTCAAATCTTCAAATCAAATTTCAAAACAGAACCATAAACGCCAGTAAAATAAGTGTGCTGCAGCAGGTTGAAACAATATTGACAGACCTTTTTTATTTAAAGTCAGAATTGTAGTTTGTCCAGTAAACCACTATTTAATAAAAAAGAAGCAATTTTATGTTTTGTTTTTCTTTGCTGTGCCGAAATCATACCAAAGCGTGACTGCAAAACTTGGTTTGAAATGTCATTTTTGTGTAGTGGTTAACTCCTATAAAACAGCCAAAGGTTGGCAACACTTTACACTTTCTAATGGTTGTCAGGCTGTTACTATGCAGTTCCTAAAGGTGTTCTTAGTAGTGGTTGCCAAGGTATTTTGTTTTGATTGTTAGAATGTTGCTAAGGCATTCAGAATAAACCAATAAGCCCCAAGAAGACGTGGTTTTCAGTGAATTTATAACAGCTAAGGGGAGTTATAAACCACGTATACAACCCCCTTAGCTGTTATAAATTCACTGTAAACCACGGCTTCACGGGGCTTATTGCTTTTATAAAACGGTTATTGCATATACGTAGTAAGGTTTCACAAAATAAAACAGAGCAAATCAAATGTAATGATATTAATAAAAACATTATTCTTCCACCAAACAATGTAGTTCCTCAGAAACAGTTGTGGTTGCAACAAAGTGGTTTGCAACACACAAACGTAAACAAAGGTGTGTGTTTGTAGAGTAATTTACAACAGCTTCGAACTTGGCTCAACCAATTAGAATCAAGGACCGGAGCTATCCGTTTTATAAACCCACCTTTGATTTCCTTGGTGAAACGGACCCTTTGCGAGTCGGTAAGCGTCTTCGGCTGCTCGTCGATGTTGCGGATGTCCAGAACTTCACACATGAACTCTATGACAGGCTGAGCTTTATAAAAGGCTGTTGCAGATACTGAGAGCAGTGGAAATGGAGAGTTTGAATGTATACAGCATGCTTTTAAAAACACTGAGCAATTAAGAGATAAAAGACGTCTGTCATACCATCAATGTTGAGCATCATCTTCCACATGGCCGGCCGGACAGACTGATGGAAGCCGAACCACACCTCTCTGCCTCCACCCAGAGGATGATAGTAGCCTTCAGGAGGAGAAAAGAAGGAGCGTCCCACTGGGGTGTACCTGCAGACGGGACGGTCGGTCACAATAGTTAAGACAGTAAAGCCAGGGGGAAAATTTTTATTTGATTGAGTCCAGTAAACCGATGCATGTTTAAAAGGAGTTGAATTTGTTCAAAACTCAGCATGATTTGATTTGATCCGATTCAATTTCAAATAATTATGCTATTGTGGATTTTTAAGTGCATTTATATGATTATGTGAATGGTTCTCCTAATGTGTCTTAGGTTATAAAAGAAAAAGACAAACTACTTAAGATTGCTTATTGCACCAAAGAACTAAAGTTAACCTATTAAATGTTTAAAGTAAGCTTTAAAGTAGCACTGTCAAACGATTAATTGTGATTAATCGCATCCATAATAAAAGTTTTTGTTTACATAATATATGTGGGTACTGTGTATATTTATTATGTATATATAAATGCAAACACATGCATGTATATATTTAAGAAAAATATGTTATTTTTATATATTAAATATATTTATATATAATATAAAATATAAGTATATGAATATATAAATGTATAAACATGTAAATATTTTCAAAATATATGCAGTATGTGTGTGTATTTATATATACATAATAAATATACACAGTACACACATATATGTAAACAAAAACTTTTATTTTGGATGCGATTAATCGTTTGACAGCACTAATATATAGTAAAAAGAAATAAAAAAAAATACCAACCACCAACCAGAGGCTTCTATTATTATTTTTAATATGTTATATTTTAGATTATTTAAAAAATATTTTGCCTGACTGACAGGGAAGCTCATGGGGCCTGGAAAGAAACAGAAAAGAACAATCTTTTCAAAAAATACTGCTGGCAAAAATATTTTAATATAAAAACATTTTAATACATGAAAAAAAAACATTATATATACTTTTTTATTTTATATATAATTTTAAATTATTATTGTTAAATTATATATTGTTTTAATATTTTTACATTGTTTTTTATTATATTTTGATTGTTAGCCTATTCTGTCTTTATTCTTTGTCTTTAAACGGACCCTTTGCGAGTCGGTAAGCGTCTTCGGCTGCTCGTCGATGTTGCGGATGTCCAGAACTTCACACATGAACTCAATGACAGGCTGAGCTTTATAAAAGGCTGTTGCAGATACTGAGAGCAGTGGAAATGGAGAGTTTGAATGTATACAGCATGCTTTTAAAAACAATGAGCAATTAAGAGATAAAAGACGTCTGTCATACCATCAATGTTGAGCATCATCTTCCACATGGCCGGCCGGACAGACTGATGGAAGCCGAACCACACCTCTCTGCCTCCACCCAGAGGATGATAGTAGCCTTCAGGAGGAGAAAAGAAGGAGCGTCCCACTGGGGTGTACCTGCAGACGGGACGGTCGGTCACAATAGTTAAGACAGTAAAGCCAGGGGGAAAATTTTTATTTGATTGAGTCCAGTAAACCGATGCATGTTTAAAAGGAGTTGAATTTGTTCAAAACTCAGCATGATTTGATTTGATCCGATTCAATTTCAAATAATTATGCTATTGTGGATTTTTAAGTGCATTTATATGATTATGTGAATGGTTCTCCTAATGTGTCTTAGGTTATAAAAGAAAAAGACAAACTACTTAAGATTGCTTATTGCACCAAAGAACTAAAGTTAACCTATTAAATGTTTAAAGTAAGCTTTAAAGTAGCACTGTCAAACGATTAATTGTGATTAATCGCATCCATAATAAAAGTTTTTGTTTACATAATATATGTGGGTACTGTGTATATTTATTATGTATATATAAATGCAAACACATGCATGTATATATTTAAGAAAAATATGTTATTTTTATATATTAAATATATTTATATATAATATAAAATATAAGTATATGAATATATAAATGTATAAACATGTAAATATTTTCAAAATATATGCAGTATGTGTGTGTATTTATATATACATAATAAATATACACAGTACACACATATATGTAAACAAAAACTTTTATTTTGGATGCGATTAATCGTTTGACAGCACTAATATATAGTAAAAAGAAATAAAAAAAAATACCAACCACCAACCAGAGGCTTCTATTATTATTTTTAATATGTTATATTTTAGATTATTTAAAAAATATTTTGCCTGACTGACAGGGAAGCTCATGGGGCCTGGAAAGAAACAGAAAAGAACAATCTTTTCAAAAAATACTGCTGGCAAAAATATTTTAATATAAAAACATTTTAATACATGAAAAAAAAACATTATATATACTTTTTTATTTTATATATAATTTTAAATTATTATTGTTAAATTATATATTGTTTTAATATTTTTACATTGTTTTTTATTATATTTTGATTGTTAGCCTATTCTGTCTTTATTCTTTGTCTTTAGGACATTAGAACAGTAGACAGGAAAGTAGGTCATGTTGGATTTGAACCCGAGTCCCCATGAGCCAACAGCTCTCATATGTGCTAAAGATGTGCATTATATAAATCAACAGCCAAATCATTGCAACTATATCATGAATCTTTAATATAACACCCAGTCTTTTGAGCCGGTCAAACACAGTTTGTTGTTCATCCATTGCTCAGAGTCATTCTCCAGGAGGATTTGCTAGTTTGTTTACGACGAAAGCAAGAAAGACTCAAGGGTTGCTTTAGCAACTGGTGCCTCACTAACCTTGTCTATGATTTAATGGGCCTGGTGAAAAATCCAATTAAATGTGATTGTTTAGCTGGTGGTGAGATGAGAGTGTTTTACACAAGAGCCTTGATATCTTTCTGACAGCCCAGTCACACCCACCTCTGGCTGTAATGAGATACACTTGTGGAGTGACCAGACATTTGGAAGTGGGAGGAACACCTTCCCCGTTTTAATCGAAAGTCTTGACTGGGCATAATCGAGAGAGCGAGAGAGAGAAGACCAGTAAAGCCAGGGGGAAAATTTTTTATTTTAGACAAAAGTTCTTATTTGATTGAGTCCAGTAAACCAATGCATGTTTAAAAGGAGTTGAATTTGTTCAAAACTCAGCATGATTTGATTTGATCCGATTCAATTTCAAATAATTATGCTATTGTGGATTTTTAAGTGCATTTATATGATTATGTGAATGGTTCTCCTAATGTGTCTTAGGTTATAAAAGAAAAAGACAAACTACTTAAGATTGCTTATTGCACCAAAGAACTAAAGTTAACCTATTAAATGTTTAAAGTAAGCTTTAAAGTAGCACTGTCAAACGATTAATTGTGATTAATCGCATCCATAATAAAAGTTTTTGTTTACATAATATATGTGGGTACTGTGTATATTTATTATGTATATATAAATGCAAACACATGCATGTATATATTTAAGAAAAATATGTTATTTTTATATATTAAATATATTTATATATAATATAAAATATAAGTATATGAATATATATAAATGTATTAATATAAATATTTTCTAAATATATACTGCGTGTGTGTGTATGTATATATACATAGTACATATACACAGTACACATACATATATTATGTAAACAAAAACTTTTATTTTGGATGCGATTAATCGCGATTAATCGTTTGACAGTGCTACTTTAAATACAGGCTACTTGGAACATAAAGAGTGTGATGTGCCAATAATAATAATAATAAAAACTGCTTTTTAAAAAGATTGTATTTATTTCCATGAGTTTTATTGGTCTAGAAATAACAATTATAAAATTCCCTATAATTTCCAGGTTCTCCATGATTGTTAATTTAATGCATTTATTAAAAAAAAGTAATGATACTTTCCCAAATTATGATCCATTCCTTTTTTAACATGTAAAATCTTTTCTTGACAAAAACAAATGATTCACATTTCAAAATGATTATGGTCAACTTAAACCTTAAAAAAAAAAAATCATTTTGTTATTTGAAATAAAATACAAATTATTTAACTTATTTTTACTTCAGTTAGCCAGGCAACATTAGCCATTTTCATTTCGTTTAACTTATATTGAAATAAACTAAAACAATTTATTATTTTGCAAATACAACAAAATTACTGAAACTTTCAAATTAAAATATAAAAATTGTAAAATATAAAAATTATTCATTCTAAATATTCATTTCTCTCAACTATACTAAAATTACACAAAAATTACATACTTTACATTACATACTACAATTCAAGATGGACAAACGGTATGCATCAGCACAATCGATGGCTCTGAGAAAACGAGTGAATTGATAAACCCCTAATGTTTGTCTGTGACCTGTCAGTCCGTGAGCAGTGTACCTCATGGAGGCCAGGTGTCTCATGGCCACGTCGAGGGCTTGGACAGAGTCCAGCGGGACCTGCAGACGTCCGCTGACCAGCGTCTCCTGCAGCAGCCGCCACGACACCTTGGCCAGCCAGTTAATGGACACTTTAAAGATGCGATCCTTCCCCTCGCCGGGGATGGTCACCTCGAAATCAACCTACAACATCAGACGAGAGGCCCAGAATGAGAACAGCATGAAACTGCATTAATTACATTACATATATTACAATCAAGGCTAGGGATGGAAATTATAGAACAAAAATCAAGTTGCTCTGAAACAAATGGATTAAATCAGAGTTTTAGAACTGAATCACTGAAACTGATAGTTTGAACTGATTCACAAAAATGAATCAAAACTAACTGAAATGGAACATTAATGACAGGAACGTGTAGGACATTTAATAATATCACATAATATAATCAAGATTTTCACAATGCTTAACCCTGTAAAACCTGACATATAAAATAAAAGCTTGAAAAATCTTAATGTATTGAATCTTCAGACAAAATCTAAAACAAAGTTTGCATGCATGTTTGTTGTTGAGTACCATATTTCACACACACATCAGGCTCATATAATCTGATATAGTGTGATTGTTGAGGAAAAAAATGTCAATTTTATTCAGAGGCCCAAACTGAGTAAATATTTGCAATTTGTTGCAGATGCTGATATTTACATGAACAAAACGTGATGAAATTCTGATGCTTACAAAAAAAAACAGTATAGCAGATACTTACATAAAATGATATAAATATCAGTCGTCACTCTTTATCTCCAATAATATGTCTTAGTAAGATATTTAAATGCTTAGTTTGATGATCGCAACATATAATGCAATACAATACAATGATGATTGAGAGATGAACAAATAAACGTTCCTCAAAAACCTGACGATTAGATTCGAGACTCACTGATTTAAAAAAAAAAAAAAAAAAAAGGATGTGTGGATAATCAAGTAAACTTAAGCTGCTTCAGTCTAGGTTTATATGGTTAAAATGATCTCCCCAGTAGTCACTATGAATATATTGTGAATCTTTTAAGACTAAATGTTATTTGCTGTGAATATGGCAAACCAATATCTTATCGAGCAGCTCTTTTACATACCTTTTCGCTGCCTATAGGTAACGCTAAAACAGTGTAGATATTCTTCTTCCCATCATACACCGGCTTTCGGTCACCAAAGAGCTGCGGTTTGAAATGTTGGACCATGTACTCCACAACCTCCCTGTGAAGAGTCACATTTAGGAGACGATTGTGACTGACATATTCAGCAAACCTGATCTGAACATTATTTTGTGACGCTGTATGATACATGTACATAATTCCACACCAAGGCTGCAATTATTGAATGAAAAATATAGTAAAAACAGAAATATTGCGAGATATTATTACAATTTAAAATAAACTGTAATGTATTTCTGTGATGCGCAGCTGAATTTTCAGCATCATTCCTCCAGTCTTCAGTGTCACATGATCTTCAGAAATCACTCTAATATGCTGATTTGCTGCTCAAGAAACATTTCTGATTATTATCAATGTTGAAAACGGTTGTGCTGCTTCATATTTTTGTGGAAAGATCAAAAGAACAGCATTTATTTGAAAGTGAAATCTTTTGTAAATTATTATAACTGTATTTACTGTCACTTTTGAACAATTTAATGTGTCATTGCTGAATAAAAGTATTAATTCAAAAAAATTCAAAAAATTAATTAATAAAAATCTACCTGACTGCAAAATTTTGATAATAATAGTAATAATGTATTATATACTTTTTAAAATTATTTTAATACTTTTATTTATTGTATTTTTATGATTTTGTTAAACCTACTTTTTAAACCTGCATTTAATTACTGGTGAAAGAAAATATGTGCACTAAAAAAGGCAATGAAAAAAGTATATGTACTTCCATACACTGAATATATACTTATATGTAAATATATATATATATATATATATATATATATACACACACATGTAAGAACAACTGATGAGCTGTAACACATAACTTCGCTGTGTAATTAAAGTGCCCTTATAATGGATTTTTGAAAATGACCTTTCATGCAGTGTGTAACAGCTCTAAGTGAATGAATACATCCTGCAAAGTTTTAAATCTGAAAGTGCACCGTGTATGAAGTTATTGTCTCTCAAAAGAAAGAGTCGACTCTGAATCATTGAAACGAGTCGTTTTTAAAACGAATCCCAAGCCGTTTCATGTTGACGTCAACATGAAACATTAGCATATTGCCCGCCCACTTGTTGGTCTTTTCTCCTTGGTCTGAATGAAAATGCAAATTCATTCTTTGCCACTAGGTGCCGCTTTTGGAGCGGTAAAAATAGCGGTTTCCCCGGTAACGCTGTACACAAAGCAGCACTGCGTTCACAAACGCTGCTTTATCAGGCATTACAGGCGAGATGAAATGAAAACCAATCACCGCAGACTAGCGTCACGCAAAGGAGGGGTTTGGAAAAATGAATCGTTGAGCAAATCGTTTGGGAGTCCTTGAGCAAATAAGGTAAAAATAAATGCATATTATAAGACAATGAAAGTGTTTTTTGACCTTGCATGCATGTCCACCTGTTGTTGGGGACTCCCAAAACCAGAATATGAACCTTTCATTACCCATAATAGGGGCACTTTAAAACAACTGTGCTTTTTACATTATTAGCATCCTTTTCTGCCTCAGAAAGTGTTTGATATTTAAGGGTCTGATGGGATTGTGGTGCACAGAATTTGGCTCAGATGCGCCCATGCAGTGGTGATGGCACAATGATGTCACTTTCACACTCATCCTCACGCTTGTGCAGATGCATCGAGAATAAACCAGGCTTAAGTTGTATTTAACTCAGAAGGCAGACAGCTTAGTTGAACTGAAAATACAGTTACGGGATGAACAGGATTCAAGTGTTGCCTGTGCACATCTAGAGGAAGATTTCATTCTAAAAACCTTTTCAGGGAAGAACAGCATGAGGAGGTTCCTTTCTAGGTCACGCTTTATGTAATTGAGGTAACTGAAACATTTTGACCTCTGTCACCGAGCCATGCAAATCTGCAGGCTTTGATTCTACTGACCCCAATGATTTTAGAGAAATAGCTAACGATAGGGGAAACTTTATCTCAATTCATACTGAGGAAAGACTAAGCCTGTCAAGATTATTACATAATCAAAAGCTAAACATGACGCTTTGTCGTCTTGAAATATTTTGATGGCTAAGAAAAAACATAACTGGCCAAATTTAGTCTGAATTTCAAGTTATTCAATATTAACATATTGTATTGTTGACAGTGTGAATGCAAAGTGGACTAAGACTAAAGAGGAACAAACATAATTTTTCATGCCAATCTACCTCAGATTCCAAAATCAGCATGATAAAATGAATACGCTTTTAGTTTTATATTTTTAGTTTTCATTTTAATTTGAGTCATTTAGCTTTCATTTATATTATTTTCAGTTTTAGTACTTCAAATTATTCTTTTTATTTCAGTTAGTTACTAAAGTATTATTTCTCATTTTTGTGTTTTTTAAATATAATTTTTTCCATCTAATATTTATTTTTCACAAAAACAAAAAAAGACAGTCAATTATAACAGAATACAAAATAAATATTATTTTATGTAATTCTACTGCTGATTCCAAATGCAATGTGGGGGGAAATGAATTAGCTTTTATTTTTATATTTTCATATTTTAAAAGTTTTAGTAGTTTTGTAACTTTTAAAATATTTTTATTTAGCTCATTTGTTTGTATATCTTATTTTTATATTTATATTTATTTCAGTTGGTAGTTTAGGTTTAGTACTTAAACATGTTTATTTCACTTAAAATTTCTAATTTTAATTTGAGTTTTTATCCATTATTTAAATTTTATTTCAGCTTTATTTCAATAAACAAAAACTTTATTCTATCCCAATCTGATAAGAAGAGACAGACTATTATAACTAAGTCTTTAGACTAAAGTGGAACAAAAAATAATAATTTTACATGTGATTCTACCTCTGATTCCAAATTCAATGTGGAAAAATGACTTTACGTGAAAATTAATTTGTATGACAATTCATTTTAAGCATTTATTAATGTGTGTATATATATATATATATATATATATATATATATATATATATATATATATATAGCATGTATGTGACCCTGGACAACAACCCAGTCATAAGGGTCAATTTTTCGAAATTAAGATTTATACATCATCCGAAAGCTGAATAAATAAGCTTTCCATTGATGCATGGTTTGTTATGATAGGATATGATAGGAGATACAAATATTTCAAAATCTGGAATCTTAGGGTGCAAAAAAATCTAAATATTGAGAAAATCGCCTTTAAAGTTGTCCAAATAAAGTCCTTAGCAATGCATATTACTAATCAAAACTGAAGTTTTGATATATTTATGGTAGGAAATTTACAAAATATCTTCATGGAACATGATCTTTACCTAATATCCTAATGATTTTTGGCATAAAAGAAAAATCAATAATTTTGACCCATACAATGTTTTTTTGGCTATTGCTACAAATATACCCCAGCGACTTAACACTGCTTTTGTGCTCCAGGGTCACATATATGTGTGTCATATAAATAGGTGACAGCCCTAGGAATGATTATGGACATTTGAGATTTACCTGTTGACCCGTCGAGGACACTTATCAGGTTTGATGTCCACTTCATAGTGGTACACATCCATTTTTGGGATTTCCACCTCGAAGTAGTTGGCAAGCAGCTTGATGGGTTTGCCAACGGTGCCCATGCCCGGCCTGCGGGGCGCCTGGAACACCTGCTGCAGGGGTGGGGGGTACGGCCCGGTGGGCACTGCGGACGAGAGACATACAGACAAAGAGACAGACAGAGAGAGAGAGAGAGAGAGAGGTCATTAAGCAGATAGGAGGTTATAAGAGCGAGACACGGTGAAAGCAGGAGTTCAGGGGGAGTTTGGGGGATTATGGGACTAGAGATATGGTGACAGGAGTGTGTATGGAAACAGGACAAAAGCACGGGAAAGAAACAAAGAGGATGGTGACTAAAACGGGAAGGGGGTAGGAAGGCAAAAAACTGAAAAAGAAAGGAGGATCAGGGTAAAAGTATACTTAAGAGTGAACTCAAAACTAGTGTGCAATCGACAGTCATTCTGACCATCATTCAATAATCAGAACAAGCAGCACAGTTGATAATGATTTCCAACACTTTTCACACTTTTCTAGTGTTTTGGCCACAATAAACAAGATGTGGAAGATGCTGACTTGTACAATATATTTCAAATATAAATAAACAAACAAACAAACAAATACAAAAAATAATTAAATATAGTATAGTAATATTATAATGTTCATTGATATCATATCAGAATTTGGTCTGTTTTAAAATATTACATTGATTTTTGATGTTTCGCAGCATTTCAAATTAAAGGCTATAAAGGAAATGTAAACATATGTGACCCTGGACCACAAAACCAGTCATAAGGGTCAATTTTTCAAAACTCAAAAATGAAAATTAACCCATAAATTACTCACCCTCAAGTCTTCCTAGGTGTATATGACTTTCTTCTTTCAGACGAATCCAGTCGGAGTTATATTAAAAATTGTCTTTGATCTTTCAAGCTGTTTCATGGCAGTCAGCGGGTGTTGCATGCATCAGTCCAAAAGAAGTTAAATAAAATGCGCCCATCCATTAAAAAAAAAAGTGTCTCACATGGCTCCGGGGGGTGAACAAAAGCCTTCTGTAGCGAATCGATGCGTTTTTGTAAGAAAAATATCCATATTCAAAACGTAATAATCACTTTAATGTAGCTTGCACTCACTGTTGTACACAGAAGCAGCTCCAGGCGGATGACGTATGAGGTCAGCGTTGCGCATGCGCCGCTCAGAAGTGATGCACGCGGAAGCGCAGGGGAAAGATCAAAACAACGGTCACTAATTAGAAGTACAAAATGAGGATTTATAAAGAAGAATGTCGGAGGATTTCGATATAAGCCAAGAGGAGACTGGTTTTCCTTTGCTAAAGTAAGGAAACTTTGCTTCCTTTGCTCCTGTTAACAAACGCTGGTTTTCACGAGACTCACCGGCACATGCGCAGCACTGAACTCATACCTCATCTGCCCGGAACTGCTTCCAGTGTACAACAGTGAGCGCAAGCTACATTAAAGTGATTATTACGTTTTGAATATGGATATTTTTCTTACAAAAAGCCCTGGTCTGAAAGAAGAAAGTCATATACACCTAGGATGACTTGAGGGCGAGTAATTTATGGGCCAATTTTCATTTTTGGGTGAACTAACTAAGGCTGCACGATAAATCGAAATGGAATCGAGATCGCGATTCGACAGAAGCTGCGATTGTCATGCGTATCTTTCAGTGAAGCACGGTTCTGTGATCAGCAGTAAATCTCCATCCGAAGGCCAGAGGGCGCTCTCGCGCTGAAACTCCAAATGCGCCTCGCAGAAGAAACCCAGAAAATGCCTATCGCTGCTGCTGAATAAACAGAAGATTCAACTGCTTTCATTGATTCAACGTGACTAATAAACACACGATTATGACAATATGCGGTTTATTGGAGTTCTTATTATTATAATTTTAATTAAAATAAAGTATATTTATAATGCAATGCCTTTATCACTGCTTAAATACTATGAAAGATGTTAAACAATAACATACAAATAACCATATAATCATGTACAGTTAGGATAACAAAATAAACAGACTTATCAACGTTTAAAATGGAAGAGAAAACACCTTCCACATGTGTTGTTGTTGATGTTAAAGGTCATGTGTCCAATCAAGCTCTACTTTGTTTTGCCGGAAATTTAGTCAAATTAGACAGATGTCAATGGCTGTGTAACAGGCCCTCACCCTCTAAACCATCTACAAATACACAGGTCAAAGAAAATACACTAGCAACGAACATGGTTTGCGCAGACAATGAACATTATTATATAAACATTATGAAGACGTTTAGAAAGCAAAACTTTCAAGCCCTTCTCATGTTAATACTTTTTAACATTCTTGTGTCCAGTGTTAGAATATGAAATTGAATCATACTAAAATATTACACTATTTATTACCATTTTAAATAAAACTATATTTACTTAGTGCTTTTTATTCGTTTTTGTTTTGTTTGCTTTTTTCTCATTTATTTGTATTTCAGTTTCAATTATAGTTAACTAAAACTAAAACCATAACAAACTTTCAGTAGCTTTAAATAAAATAAACTTATATTACTTAAAATAATATATTTTAAAAAGCTTAAATTATCTAATTTTCATTTAGTTTAGGTAGATGTTCTAAAATGACTAGCACTGAAGTAAAAATTTATAAAAACAATAGACATTTAAAAAACAAAAACTAATAACAAAAGCACAACAAATTTACTTAAACATCAACTAATTCAAATAAAAACGTTAATAAAAACTATATTATCTCAATGATACAACACTGTTCTTTTTTAGCTTTAGTCATTTTAGTACTCCATTTGACTTATTACTGCATTTCAGTTAGTTGCCAAGGTAACATTTTTTCCCCATATATTTATATTTTTTATTTTAGCTTTATTTCAATAAACAAAAATGATTTTAATAGCTTTAGTTTACAATAACACTTGTTGGGTCTGTGCAGATCATGGTCATTTTAATGCATTTCAGTGTTCGATTTCGAAATTGATGTTGGTCATTTGTTCATGCTAAAATATTTCATTTTATTCCAAATTGATACGAAGAGAGTGAGACAGACATTTATTACTAAGACTATATAGACTTTTGTTATGTGCATTTTCATTTTTATTTGTTTTTTCTTAACTGAATATTTCTATTTAGGTTTAGTTTATATTTATTTCAGTTTTAGTTTGACTAATTTTGGTATTTAAACTTATTTTTTCATTTAAGTTTTTTCAGCTTTACTTTCATAAACAAAACTATATTAATAGCTTTAGTTTACAATGACAACACTGGTAGGGTCTGTGTAGATAATGGTAACTTCAACACTTTTAATTTTTTTTTTATTGATATAGGTCATTTTTTTCCATGATACTTTATTCTATCCCATAAGTATAGAGACAGATAATTATAAGTAAATCACTCTTAGGTTGACATGGTTTCAAAACAGATTTGTTTGAGTATATCAACCAGCCTGACGCAACAACATTCCACCAATGGCAATATTTGGGAAACGTGTTTGAAAACAGTCATTTTGCGACACACGTCGTGGCACAGAAATTACACACATCAACATTTTGAACCAGTTTTGTTATCCAAAGTAAAATCTGCATCCCGAACTAAAACTATTTGTGAAAGACTAGTCTAAAGCGTTGACGCCTTTAACCTCTCTGCCTATGAAGAACACTCCCTCCATCATAACAAAGACCCCAGCTGCCCTCCTTCCCGAACAGGGGGAGCCGGAGGAGAGGAGCCCCCCTCACCTCCACCTCAGCACACACAAACACAGGGGCCCCAAAACATTCCCAGCCTCTCCATAGCAACCGCACAGCAACACACATTGTCATGGAGATCAGGAGACCAGGGATACGTGGGGGTTTTGGGAGAGCCGGACCTTGGCCTTATTCATCGTATAGTGTCAGTGAGCACCTCGACATTACGCCGAGACAAGGTCATCAATCTTATCCTACACGGCCCGCTTTATAGCTCGCCTGTGATTTAAGAGGCGCTTCGGAGAACTCTCGTATGCTTTTTTTCTGCAGGATATATACTCTGCTAAGTCTTGATCAATGGCAAACTCTATGTTCCTACAGCAGAGTGAATGCAGGCAGCGGCAGATGGCTAGAAATGGAGCCAGATCTCAAGAAACCAGTAAACAATGGCAGCTCTCTGTTAGGGCTGGCTGATAGATATATACATACATATAGATAGATAGCTATATATAGATGTGTACATAACATATTTGCTGCTGATATAAGACTAAGCATCATTGAGAATATTGTGCGATTTGCCCACTACATTTACTAAAGGCTGTAGTCCAGCTCTATATATGCTTCTGATGCCAAAGAAATTCAACATTTACACTATATTTGCAATTATTTTGATAGGGATATAAAAAGAACTTCGAAGTTTATTAATTTCTTTGCTTCAGTTCAAACTGTTCATTTCAATGAATCAACTCAAAACCCTGATTTAGCTACTTATTCAACAGGCAAATTTTCATGGAAGTTTCTGCATGGCATTTTAACACTTTACAATAAAGTTAACAAAACATCTACAGCATTAATTCATCTTAATTCATGTCAATTTTAACATGTACCGAAACATTTTCAAAAGCAATCTGACATTAACATTTAACATTAAGGTTAATGAATAGTGTAAAAAAAATGTTAATACATGCAAATGAGAAAATATTACCATAAATATATATATTTTTTAAATGATCTGTTGACAGATAAAAATGATTAAAAAACTAAATGATTCAATCGATTAAGAAGCAGTGGAAAACATAGATTTTTAACAAAATGACGTTAGACTTGAGTAGCAAAACCATGTTAGAGTTTGATAAATTTCTTTGCATTAGTTCATACTGTTCATTTCAATGAATCAATTCAAAACTCAGACTTTTGCATTAATGCTCGAAGGTTTTCATGGAAGTTTCTACATGGAATTTCACATTTATTCACTTAAAAATCTGTAGCACTTTACAATAACGTTTCATTTGTTAACATAAGTGAACTACATTAGATTAGTCAACATTGCACTAAAAATAAAAAATATTTCTACAGCATTTATTAATCGTGTAACATTTTTAAGATCGAAGTTATATCAGTTAACATTCGTTAATGCAATGTGAACTAACATAAACATTTAATACATATTTTGTGTATCACATATATAATGTTCAATGTAATGTTATATTAACATTTAACAAGGTTAATAGATGCTGTAAAATATATTGCTCATTGTCAGTTAATGCATTAACTAATGTTAACAAATAAGACCTTATTGTAAAGTGTTACCGAAAAAATGTACAAAGTGTGGACAGAATTATTATTTAATATCAAATTAATTCAATATCTACTGACAAGCAGAGGAAACATTGATTTTTAACAAAATGCCAATTCTTCTCGCCTCTCTTTAAGCTATTTCAGAACAAATGCATAAGTATATACTGAAGGCATCAAAAGGCTGAAAAATCTATTTTGTTATATATCAGCCCTGCTGAAAGCAAAAGTGGGCAGAATTGTGACAGAGGAACAGAACCAATATTTTGGGCTGGAGTCCCAGATGTCCTGCTATTGAGGGCTCAAGAGCATAACGCACTGAAGTGTGCAAGATCCACAGAGACGCCACCTGGCCAGTGCACAGCCCCTGTGACCCTTCCCCTGCCGCTCATCAATAAAGGCCACCCTCAGAGTCACACAAACAACTACATCAACACGTTTTGCTCTAGCAATGGCCTTTTCATGAGCAGGGTGTCTGATATACATACGCAAATATTATGTGTCAAATATTATATACGCACCCAAAACTATTGACAATAAGTGACTAAAAGAGAGCTATCACAATGACAAACATTCATTTGTAAAAAGTCAAAGCCTGCAAAAATAATAATCGTTTCAAACAGGCTTCTCAAAATATCCTGCCCAACTGCCATTGGTCAGAGCAACAGATAGTCCCGCGGCCCGCCCCAAACTCACAGCACTGGCTTTATTTCAGTTTAGCGGTGTGCGAAACAGATTCCTAAACGTATTTAGTGCACTACATGGACTGCGTGAGATGAACATCAACAAAAAACACTGAGAAAAAAAACGTCCTTGTAAAATGTCAACTCCAATGTAAGCCACTGAATAAGAAATATCAGAATTAGCATTAGCTTGAATATGATTTATACTTTAAATATCTGCAAACGTATTAAATGTATAGTTATTATATGTGTAATTATAAATACAATTTTAGACTTAAAACAAACAACTAGACAGTTTATTCTGTGCAATTAAAAATGTAATGCTCATATATTTAGGCTTCAATACAGATAAGTAAAATATTAAGACCTATAACATTTATTTATATATTGCAAGATTTAGTTCAAAATCTAAATCTTTTCAAAAAAAGAAAAAAACTTTTTTAAATTAAATTTATTTATAATAAATAAATAGTTAGAATTTAAAGTCAAGTTAATTTCCCATCCTTTTTGTAACCTTGGTCTTGCAACAAATCACACGATTAAACTGTATGTTAAACAGAATACAAGAACTATAGTCAATTCTTACCATACCTATTGTTAAAATATGTAAAATGTTAACACACTAAGACAACATTTTATGGTCATTTCATGATTACACTGACTTTCAGTTGGCAAAAAAAGCTAATTGTCCCTACTAAAAGTTGAGGAATTATTTTAAACAAACAAACTAACTAATAAATAAATAAACGTGTTTTCATATACAAATGTACATTTCTTAATGCTGTTATTTCAGTTTAGCGGTGTGCGAAACAGATTCCTAAACGTATTTAGTGCACTACATGGACTGCGTGAGATGAACATCAACAAAAAACACTGACAAAAAAAACGTCCTTGTAAAATGTCAACTCCAATGTAAGCCACTGAATAAGAAATATCAGAATTAGCATTAGCTTGAATATGATTTATACTTTAAATATCTGCAAACGTATTAAATGTATAGTTATTATATGTGTAATTATAAATACAATTTTATTCTTAAAACAAACAACTTGACAGTTTATTCTGTGCAATTAAAAATGTAATGCTCATATATTTAGACTTCAATACAGATAAGTAAAATATTAAGACCTATAACATTTATTTATATATTGCAAGATTTAGTTCAAAATCTAAATCTTTTCAAAAAAAGAAAAAACTTTTTTAAATTAAATTTATTTATAATAAATAAATAGTTAGAATTTAAAAAGTCAAGTTAATTTCCCATCCTTTTTGTAACCTTGGTCTTGCAACAAATCACACGATTAAACTGTATGCTAAACAGAATACAAGAACTATAGTCAATTCTTACCATACCTATTGTTAAAATATGTAAAATGTTAACACACTAAGACAACATTTTATGCTCATTTCATGATTACACTGACTTTCAGTTGGCAAAAAAAGCTAATTGTCCCTACTAAAAGTTGAGGAATTATTTTAAACAAACAAACTAACTAATAAATAAATAAACGTGTTTTCATATACAAATGTACATTTCTTAATGCTTAGCCCGTTTTAGTTTTTATGACTTTTCTATTTTTTAAGAGGGGTGTGCTTTGCTTTGTACACCCCTCACAGTTTTTTGTTTAGTTTTTTGCATTAAAAAACGGTGCAAAACGGTTTGAGCTTGAACTTGCCCCAGGACTAAAAGCATGTTTATTATACATTTTGGGAGACAAAATAATTGAA